CGCAGCATGTAGCACAGGTTTCTCCCCTGAACGCAGCATTAGCACAGGTTGTAGCATTAGCACAGGTTTCTCCCCTGAACACAGCATTAGCACAGGTTGTAGCATTAGCACAGGTTTCTCCCCTGAACGCAGCATGAGCACAGGTCTCTCACCTGAACGTAGCATGTAGCACAGGTTTCTCCCCTGACAGACAGATCTAAACAAGTTAGAAGTTTCCCCGATAAATCATGCATAAGCTTCCCCTTTAAATCTTTACTGAGATGTCCTCAATTCATTAATACAGCATAAAAAAGCTTAACATAATGTTTTTCTAATTTCCATGTAAACACGCAGCTTTTTTCTCATTTATCTGATTGCAGAACATCTTCAGTGCCGGTGTTTTTGTATTTTTTTGCTTTTTTTTAAATTGCTTTAATTGACGTTTCTCCCCATAGAATCATGCAACGTTTCCCTTTGAAAATAAGGCATTTAGCATTTAAGAACACTTACAAAAGGTCTGTTTTCAAGGTCTGTAGTTGCTTATGTTATTTAAACTGTTTCCATGTCGAATTTTTACGTTTTTTTGTTACCTCTCCGTCCTCAGGGATTTCCTGCAAATCGGGTTCCTATGCTCCTCCCTGAAGCTGCTGAGTGTGCTGGGCTGCAGAAGTGGATCCTCTGATATCTGGTTCTGGTTCTGCTGGTTCTGGTTCTGCTGGTGGAGGCGGGGGTCAGAGGGCCCAGTGGGGGGGGCCGGTCCTGATCGAGCCTCTTGAAGATGAACAGACTGAGCTTCCACAACAACAGAACCATGCAGGACCGCCGCTGCGTCTGTGTCTTTCTGCCCAACGACGACACGCTCAACGTCATCGTCAACGTGAGGATGAAACATTTTGTATTCTATCCAAAGAAATGCTTGTAAATGCTACTTTATATATTGTACGAAAGGAAATGTTATGTACTGTTAATTTACGATGATATATGACAGAAGAGCAGGACATCTTTTGAATATTTGATCGACTTGTTTGTTGAATCTTTTTAAGCTTGAAACATTTTTGAAATAGTTAATTGACTTATCCATGAATCATCTAATCCTTTCAGTTCAAATGTTCAATATTAAAAGCATCACTAATGTAGATATTGCTTTAGTTATGGAGCATCTTTGCTTATATTTACAAGTGTATATTTATGTAATGAAAATAAATGTAACCCTCCTCCTCAGGTGAAGACTGTGTGTCAGGAGCTGCTGGTGCAGGTGTGTGATCTGCTGAGGCTGAAGGACTGCCACCTGTTCGGACTCAGCGTCATTCAGAGTAAGACTCAAGTACATTTAGGTCCTGCAGATGTTTAATAAGGTTTATCTACACTTATTAAACATCGGCTAAACAATTGTAGTTTTCTGATATTTCACATCCGGATAATTCTACGTTATGAGGAACAAATCTGTTTGGAAATCAGCTAATGGCTGTTAGCTGGAGGGAAGTTCCATAGAGTTGCACTATGATACATGCATGTAGCACAGGTTTCCCTCTGAACGCAGCATTAGCACAGGTTTCCCCCTGAACGCAGCATGTAGCACAGGTTTCTCCCCTGAACGCAGCATTAGCACAGGATTCTCCCCTGAACGCAGCATTAGCACAGGTTTCTCCCCTGAACGCAGCATTAGCACAGGTTTCTCCCCTGAACGCAGCATTAGCACAGGTTTCTCCCCTGAACGCAGCATTAGCAAGCACACAGCATACACAGGTCTCCCCTGAACGCAGCATTAGCACAGGTTTCTCCCCTGAACGCAGCATTAGCACAGGTTCTCCCCTGAACGCAGCATTAGCACAGGTTTCTCCCCTGAACGTAGCATTAGCACAGGATTCTCCCCTGAACGCAGCATTAGCACAGGATTCTCCCCTGAACGCAGCATTAGCACAGGTTTCTCCCCTGAACGCAGCATTAGCACAGGTTTCTCCCCTGAACGCAGCATTAGCACAGGTTTCTCCCCTGAACGCAGCATGTAGCACCTACCTGTGATGGCGTCTCTCAGGAAGCCTCCACTGACTGCTTCCTTTGTGCAGAGAGGCTGGAGTTGTTTATGGTGACTGGGGGGAGGTGAGGGTGAGGGTCATGTGGACAGGAAGCTGAGGGGGCGTTCAGACAGCTGACGGTCAGGTCAGGAGACAGCAGTCTGA